TGAGAGTATGTGGAACTGGTGCACAAACAGACCGTCTGTGCCTTCTTTTTGATAATCGTCGCACTCGGTTTCCACTGTTTCGAGGTGAATTATCAACACATTTTTAATTCGGGAACCAGACCAATTATTATCCCAAGCTCCCATTTACTAAAATTTTAATTAAAATATTATATTAAATAGTTAAAAAAACTTTATTTTTAGAGACGATGAAAAAGCCCTTACCATTGTCATTTGTTTTTGATTGAATCAAATAATTATTAAATAATTATAACTATGAAAACTACCGAAAGTTAATTCCATCAATTATTTTTGTTTTAAAAATCTTCTAAAATAATTTTCTTGAAAAAAGTGGAATTAAACCAGATAGTTCCAAAATATTTTAAGTGAATTAAACCCGGATTATACTGTAGCTTAAAACTGTGAAATATTTATTAATCAATAATTTATTATAATTGTTTACAAAAAACGATTTTTTCAATATTTAAAGACCTAATAACTGAAAATATCAAAATGCGCAGACTTTCTGGTTATCACACCATGATAGTCTCGAAGTATCTTGAGACTATCAAAGACTTAATTAACTTAGGGTTGGTATGCAAAAAGTTAAGAGGGAATATGGAGAAGTTCCATTTTAACCCGATTCCGTTAAATTTCAAAACACTTGGATACTTTCCAAACATCGAGACACTTTATTTGTGGGATGTAAAAGATGAGAATTTTGGCAATGGATTTCTAACCAACACAAATACAAATGAAGATTGTGAAAATAAAAGTGTTTTAAAGAAAGAGTTCTATCGAATTATTGTTTGGTTCAGTGTTGACTTTGAAACTTTTGACAGAAACAAAAGTCGACACATCGAGTTTAAAAATGTTACTTACACCGAAAATGATAGAAAGAAATTTGGTAATAACATAACATCTTGTGTGACATCAATTGGTGATTTTTGTTTTTGTGAATGCAGCAGTTTGAGCAGTGTTAACATACCATCAACTGTGACATCAATTGCCAGATGTTGTTTCCTTGGATGCAGTAGTTTAAGCAGTGTTAACATACCATCAAGTGTGAAATCAATTGGTGATTGGTGTTTTTGTGAATGCAACAGTCTCAGCAGTATTACAATGCCATATGGTGTTATATCAATTGGTGGAAATTGTTTCAGAGCATGCAGTAGTCTAAGAAATGTTATTTTACCATCAAGTGTTACATCAATTGGTAATCAATGTTTATTAGGATGCAGTGGTTTAATTAGTGTAACTATACCATCCAGTGTGAGATCAATTGGTGATTGGTGTTTTAGTGGATGCAGCAGTTTGAGCAGTGTTAACATACCAACGAGTGTGACATCAATTGGTGATTTTTGTTTTTGTGAATGCAACAGTCTCAGCAGTATTAACATACCATCAACTGTGACATCAATTGCCAGATGTTGTTTTAATGGATGCAGTGGTTTAATTAGTGTAACTATACCATCCAGTGTGAGATCAATTGGTGATTGTTGTTTCAGTGGATGCAACAGTCTCAGCAGTGTTATAATACCATCAAGTATGACATCAATTGGTGAATATTGTTTCAATAAATGCAGTAGTTTGAGCAGTGTTATAATACCAACGAGTGTGACATCAATTGGAATTCAATGTTTCCCATCAAATACAGTAGTTGAACGAAATTAATTTAGTTGATACTTTTATTTAATGTTTATTATTGTTTTAATAAATTTAATTAAATTATAAATTGTTATAATTATTATTTATTAAAAACAAAAAAAACAATTGAAAAAATCAAATTAAATTATTAGGCGGAATTGATTTTATCAATTTCTTCAAAGTATACATTGAGGCTCCTAAAGCCGGCCCCCTTCCCCCACCCATCTTATGGGAACAGAGATTACTTAAATGTAAGATTGTGTAAAATGATGAGTATATACCACGTCATTATAAAATAATAAAAATAAAAGTTAATATAATAGAATTGAGTAGTAGTTATATAAAGAAAAAAGTAGTAGGTTTTAATTAATAAAATAAAAGTGGGTTTAGGAAAATCTGCCCTTTTAAAAATTGCCTTTTCAATAATTCGCCTTTTTTCGCCTTTATTTTTCAACAAAATTTCAAGTCATTTGAATTTTTGTTGAATATTTATTTAAAACACGTTTACAAAAATAAATCAATCTGTATTATTGTATTTATTACAATAATATATAATGTTTATAGTTGATTTATATTTATTATCTGAGATGGTTTTTATATTAAATAAATAAAATATATTAATATATAATTTTATTTAAATTCGAAAACTACATTATAATATAAATAATTATTAACAATATAATTATTATTATTTGAATAACTGTAAATATATATACACTGTATAATTATAAATTGTTAATAATTGTATAATAATTGTATTTTAATAACATAAAATATTGATTATAACACAAATTAATAAATAATAAGTATATATATATAAATATTTATAAATTATACAATTTTTATGATTAAATAGAATTATTTTATTATAAAACGTATTAGGTCATCTACAATATTCAATGGAAAATAAAACAACCACACCATTGGTTATATCCGACATTCCGCAACCTCCTAAATTTGAAATGATTTTATCAACACATGGAAATTATCAACCATACATTAATGGTTATAAATTTAGATCTGTTGATAAAAAACGCATATTATTTAAATGTGAATACCAACAATGTAAAAAGGGTATTAGATTGCTTTTTTATGAAGAAGGTAACACAACTGGATATGAAAAAACTGGTTCTCAAAAGGGTCTTCCACATGAACATGACACCACTTCTTATTTTGACAAAAAATGTACTGAAAACATGAAAGAAGAAGCAAAGAAAGAAAACTCAAAAAATAAAAGCGCCATGTTAATAGTCGCAGAAGCTTACGTCAATGGTTCTTCAAAACGTTTATCTTTATGTGAACATATAGTACGAAGTCAAAAACAGATATCCAAAAACCCAAAAGAAATTGATCAAATCACATTCACTAACGAGGAACTTTCTTTTGTCATGTACCAAGATTATGAAATGATAATATTTGGTAAGAAAGAATATTTAAATTATTTTAAAACGTGTAGTACAATTTTGATGGATGGATCTTTTAAATCATGTCCAAGTTTGTCTATTGAGATATACAGAAACAAAATTTTATATTAAATTATATATTATTTCACGAAAAAAATTGATAATAAAATATTATAATTATGTTAAATAGAAAATAATTTAATTTTAAATTTAATATTAAATTTAAATATTAAAAAATAATATATATATATATACATTCTAAATAAAATAATCTGATATTAAAGTGTTATAATATACTAATATCAAACATTTTATTTTACAAAAATATTAATATATTTTTATATTATTTGTTTATCATTTTTGACAAATAGAATTATTTTATCAAATGTATACCATTCACGGTTTGCAAAATGGAGAATCTTTTCCAGTTTTTTATTCATGTTTTGTTTCAAAAAGTAAAGAAACGTACAAAAAATTATTCGATAAGATTGAAGAAATTTGTAAAGAAAAAGTGTTTCATAAAAAAGGTTGTTGTAATGGGAGACTTTGAAGTTGTGTATTTCAAAGATCTGTTTGGAAATGAGGTTGATGCTAAATGTTGTCATTTTCATTTTTGCAATCTCTTTATAGGAGAGTTTTAACTTTGGGATTTGGTGAAAGATTTGTTGAAGGTGATTCGTTTAAAACTCTAATAAAAATGTTAATGTCATTGGCTTATTTGCCAAAAACAATGATCAGGGACACATTTTATATGATAAAAGAAGAATTGTGTCAAGACAAAGATGTTAAAGTGTTTTTTGAGTATTTTGAAAACACTTATATAAATGGCGTTTTTAAAATTGAGCACTGGTGGTATTTGGTCTTCCCGAAAGAACAAATAACCGAGCGGATGGTTTTCATTCGGCGTTGAATCGATTTATACGTATTTCTCATCCTGATATTCACACTTTTGTTGAAAAATTGCTGTCTTTCCAGAATATTATAGATTTTAAATTTAAACTATTTGAAGAGTCACTTAACACAACTCGAAAAAAGATTGGTACGGTCGAAAAAAATATTACTCTGAAAGAACTTCATGAACAGTTATTTGGTGCTCATAAAATTGAACCAATCGTATTTCTCAAAAAGTGCACCAAACTTTTCACTAAAAAGAAATATAAAATTTATTTCAATTTGGATGTTGAAACTGAAAAGTTGAAATTGAAAATGAAAACGAAATTATTGATAAAATGAAACAACTTACAATGGCCGAAGAAGAAACGTCAGAAAAACACAAAAAATGGAAATTGTATTCAAAAAAGAAAATAGCTTGTTTGAAGACAATGAAAGTGATGAAGATAATGACGAAATGGTTATAGAAGAGCCTCAAATAAATAATGAAGTCACTTTGAATTAATACACAGTAAAAGAAATTGAAGAACACATAAAAAAGAACAAAAAAATAAACAGTGAAAAAAAACCAAAAAACCAAGTAAATAAAAAAGAACAGCGAAGAAAAAAACAGATTTTAAAAAAGCGAAAGCAATGAAAAAAGTGATGCAAAAAGGAAGAAATTCTATTAAGTCGAAAAGGACTAAAAATACTAAAATGGAAGAATAATCAATTTAATTTTTTTATTGATGTACAATTAATATTATAATTAATAATTACAATAGTGATATTATATAATTAATAATAATGAATTGATAAACTTAAAAATATATAAATTATATTATTAATTAATAATACATCGACTATCTGAACATACCCAAACATAAAATTATTGTATATAATTTTTTTCACAATGAAATGTAATTAATATTATTAAATAATTAAAAAACAATTTTAATTTGATTATTTATGTTTATATCTAATTGTAAATAGTCAAAAGAGTAAAATAAATAAACTTATTATAATGCTTTTCATTTTAGTGTATTTAATAAATTAATTAAAACAATTATTATAATTAATTATATATTAATATATTTTATTTATTTAATATAAAAACCATCTCAGATAATAAATATAAATCAACTATAAACATTATATATTATTGTAATAAATACAATAATACAGATTGATTTATTTTTGTAAACGTGTTTTAAATAAATATTCAACAAAAATTCAAATGACTTGAAATTTTGTTGAAAAATAAAGGCGAAAAAAGGCGAATTATTGAAAAGGCAATTTTTAAAAGGGCAGATTTTCCGTTCCCCGGAATAAGAGGGGATTGGAACAGTTACATTAATAGAAATTGTATTCAAAATGTTGTATTACAAATACGTTATTATTCAAATACACGTTTTTGTTATAGCGAACTTATATTATCTTTTATTTTTGAGCACTTTGACGTTTTCAAATCTTTTATAGATCAAAACAAAAAATTCCAGTTTATTCCCAATACTCAAAATATATTATCGAACTCACTTGGAAATGCTTCATTTGACAACAACAAATTTGTTAGAGCTCTTTTTTTCGTAGAATACATTTTTTTTCTGAATAAAAACTGATAACTGAATGGCTACAAACGCCAAAACTAGTTCGCGACAGCTTTTACTCGTATTCAAAGATATATAAAATATCTTTTTTCCCTTAAAAATAAAGTATATGATAACAATAACGATTTTTTTTGCTACACTTCCTTTTATACGTGAAAACACTGTAGATGATATAAAAGTTCTCAGAAGTGTATGTGGTGGTTTTATAGAAAGATTTTTGTGGGCGCTTGTTTATCGTTTTGTAAATCCATTCAGAAAAATGTCTCGCTGTGAAATGGGTAATGGTATTTCGATACGAGAAAAAGGTTTTCAAATTGATAGCTTTGAAGAGTATTTAGATTTATACAAAGCAAAGACCCCACAAGAAGTTCGAATGAAAATTGAGGCATGCATCATTCCCAATGACCTTCACGACA